GTTGTAGGATTTATGTACGGCTTAGGGTTGTGGGGTTTTATTTGCGGTTAAGCCATGCCCGGTAGCAAACGTCCTGGCCCCGATAGTCAACAGCTCAGAAGCTGTAAACTGCAAGCCATAAGTCATACAGCGCGACATCGGACACCCCAAACTCCTAAATCCTCAACAACGAAGCCCAAAACCCAAACCCCAAACCCCAAAAATCCCTGAACCCAGAGCCCGAATGCCGTGACCCTCAGCCCTCAACAAGCAAGCCCAAGCCCCTCCAGGCCTAAACTTTGAGAACATTACGGCCACAAGTAGCCTTCAAAGCCCCAAAACGGGCACGCCATAATCTGTATTATTATTGTTCTTGTTATTGAATATTCTTATGATTCGCATGGTGATGATGTTTGCTATTATCATTATTATTATTCTAACTGGTTTTGCTATTTTTTTGCATTGTTATTGTCAGTATTGATTAGTATTGTTATTGTGATTGGTGTTAGCATTCTTTTGTTTCTATTGAGTAGTATGATGGTTATCACATATGATGGTTACCAGACGCGTCTTTTAACATTGTTATGATTATTAACGGCTCGTTATCATTCTTGATATCATCATCGTTATCATTTTTGTTGCCATGTTGCGCTAAGGTTTAGGGTTCAGGGTGTAGCGTCTAGGGTACTTAAAGGATCATGGGACTTAGTAACTAGGCTTATGATTAAGGTAATTCTACTTATAACTACTTATAACCCCAATTAAGGTACTTATAACCTTACTTGCAAAGTCCCATGATCTTTCAAGTAGACCCTAAACCCTAAACCCTATAGATACCTTTAAGGAACCATATAGATCCCTTTAAGGAGCCCTTTTAAGGAACCCTTACTAAGTCCCATGATCTTCCAAGTATGGGCAGAGCTTCCCATCACATCGGTGCGGCTCTTCGGGTTGTTCCTCTTCGAGCTGCTTGCCCATCATCCACCGATGCATACCCCACTGCAAGATGGACGTGCGATATAGAAGCCGGAATACATGCCAATACTCTTCCTTGCTATGGTCACCTGAAGATCTTTATTTCAATGTTTGTTCATAGACGAAACCCAAGAGAATGTTCGAAGTATTATTCGAACTATAGTTCGAAGAGGGTTTAGCTAAAAGTTTTGTTTCAACTCTGGGCAGGATGTTGGGCGTAGGGACGTTAAGGTTTAGGGTTGCTGGGCTTAGGGGTTTACAGGGGTTCAGGAATCTAGGAGTTTAGGTTTGGTTTAGGGGTTTAGGAATTCTTGGGTTGAGGTTGAGGGGTTTAGGGATATTATATAGAGGTTCCAGCGATATACAAGGGGGTTTCGATGTCTTGACTGTTGAGATGTAGGACATAGGAATTCATAGGGATTTGGGCTCATGATATATTACAGTCGTGCGTGATGGTGTCCTCGAGTGTCAGAGTCCGTCTCATCTACATGCAAGCTGTCAAGTTTGCTCCCAGCTAGACGACCCCGTGCCACACCGAAAGCCAAGACACTGATCCCTAAACCCTGAGCCCTAAACCCCTAAGACACCCATCTTAAGCACCGATCGTTCAACGTCTAGTTTTCTCGTCTCTTTGCTTCACTTCATGGGCGTTGCAAGTTTAAGATTTCGAGATGTTGACCACGACGGCGTGACTCCTTCCTTCTGCTTGATGCTAAAGTTCATTTAGGGTCCAACTACATGCCCTAGCTCGAGTCCTAAGAATGAATCATAAAGAAGAGATGCATAGACAGCCTCTTGCAGTCATTGCTCAGAGTGCAGATCTACGCCAGCTTATTACATCAAACACCATATATAGTGACGGTATGTAGTATCGTATTTACTCTATGCAACATCCCACGTTGCTTGCCCTTTTGATGGACACCGAATTCGTACTTGGAGTTCAAGCTTAATATCACGGTCGCGGAGGAGTTTTGCAGCCTTCTGCAGTTGATGTTGCGCACTACATTGAGCCCTAGGAGGCCATGATCATCAAGGCCCCATAGGGTTGAGGTTTAGGGTTTAGGGTTTAGCGCTACCGTAAAGCCCGAATCAGACAGTGCAGTATCCCAAGAATTTCCTGGCCGTGGGTCTTGGTCGCAGTGGCAGACCTCAACCGCCAAGCCCGAACTCGGAATCCTGAACATGATTGAAGCTTCTTGGAAACATCCATGCGGTGGCTTCTGCATGCGGCGTGCATTGGGCAGTTTTATCAAGTATTTACATAATCAGCTCGCTTTGAAATCAGGCGTGCGTGCTCACCCGTTGCTTGAGCGCGTCCAGCTGATGAGACTCAGGGAGACAACGGCACTCTTCGAGGTTGCGCCGGGGGTTGAAGTGAAGCTACCCTAAAAGGCTAAACCCTGTCACCATATTGAGTGTGCAACTTTGAGCTATACGGCCCACGGTGCCCGCGCTGTCTGGTGATCGAAGCCCTATCTTAAATCGGTTTAGCGGTTTGGTTTAGGGGTTCAGGGTTTATGGGAGTTCCAGGTTCACATATGCATAAACCCTATCCCCAAACCCTAAACCCCAACCGTAAGCCCTTAGGGTCTTGAATCCTAAGCTTGACTTACAACCCCTGCTGTTGAGGCTCTTTCGTCTCAAGCTTGCAAAGCTGGCCTTTGCCTGTTCTGTTTAGCTGCATAGTATAGGGGCCTAAATAATTACCAATACTCTTTCTAAGGGTTCCTTATTATGACTACTATTTGCTTAAGAACCCCCAAAAAATAAAAAATGTATTCCTTATGGGGGGTAATATAGGGATTATTATTTTTTATTTTTGGGGGTTTCTTAAGCAAATAGTAGATGACTATTCCAACCATTAAGGCTCCTACATTAAAGAACGCTCTTATAGATCCCTTGCAGACCTTGTTTTTTAGACCTTGTTAAAGGAACTCACAAAAAAAGGAACCCTATATTCGAATTATTAAGGCCCCTATATTAATCGTCAGGGTAGGAGTCGACCTTTCCAGACTCCTGCAAAGACCCCAGAGATTTAAATACCTCTGGGACCAACATGCACTTGAAGGTTCATGGGTAGCTGTAGGGTTTAGGGTCTAGGGTTTAGGGTGTAGGGTATAGGAGTATAGGATTCAGGGTTTATAAGGTTAAGGGGCTTCTGTACTTAGGGCCACGGACGCGTTAGACCTTGCAATTTTCCCATGAGCCGTCAAGCAGCAGAGGCAATATGAGGGCCTATGGACTGAGGGCTCGCAGCGCAGCCCGTGACCCCAGCGAGCCCAATACGCCTTACTTGGAGGGGCAGGGGACTTAGTAAGTCGTTCATAACTAGGGTTATAATTGGGGTAACTCCATTTAGGGTACTTATAACTCTACTTATAACCTACTTACTAAGTCCCCTGCCCTTCCAAGTAATTAAGGAATATTTAAAAACCCTAAACCCTAACAAGGGGTATTGGGCTCTCTGGGACTCTCCTCGCCATCGACAAAAACTTGTTTGGCCTGCTTTCGTCTTGTGGCAGGTGCATGTACGTGCTAGACTTAGGGTATGGCTGCAGGCCGAAAAGTATCCACGCACCATAAACCGTACAGCAAGCTGGAGCATGCGGTTCTGAAACCAACCGCCGTCTGCAAGCCAACATCCTCCATGCACAAGTTCGGGGCTGATTCCATGATAGGCTGCCCATTTTGTCTTCGCTTCAGCCGAACATCATAGAAATAAATATGCAAGCAAGCAAGGAAGAAGGCGTATGATCGTGTTAACCCTGTAGCCAGGACAGTAAAAACCACATTACTCAGCGTACTGAAAGGTTGAGGCTTGGGATTTTGGTAACCGTTCAATGTTATCACGGAATGGATAGTGCAATAATCGGGCCCATCGCGGGGTACAGGGTATCGGACTACTTACCCTAAGCCCGCTTCCGGTGTCGGTGTGGCAAGTGGGGAAAGGTTTTGTTGGGCTCTGTCGTTCAGGCCATTTTAGGGACGTTAGGTGTTAAGGGTTGAGGGCTTGGGGATCGCTTGGGGTGTAGACTAACATGCGGTATGTCCAAAGGTCATGTTGCTCGGAGCTCGTTCCCTGTCTCATTCATGAACTGATTCATCGCCACATTGCCGTAACAGAATCTGAACGGATCTATTGCAGTCTCCAGCTATACCTCAGACTATCATAGCGTACCTTGTTGCAGGTCCTGATTCTAAACCAAAGACTATTGCCTTAGACTGTATAGGAACCCTAACAACAAAAAGGTTTTGGTAGTTCGAGCTACATTCCTACGCTTAGAGATTCGACTCTCTGAGCTGTGGAAGGGAACTTGTACAAGCTGGAAGCGAAACCCAATCGGACCGTGAGAAACCTGCAGATTTGTAGGGGTCCTTACTTGGGTTTAGGGGGAGGTTCATGGGTAGTTATAAGGGTTCCTTTAAGGGTCCCTTTAAAGTTATCGATAGGGATTCTACAAGGGTATTGAGTTTCGGGTCTACTTGGAGGTTCATGGGTAGTTCTAAGTGAGGTTATAAGTCCCCCAATATGGGTTAGAACCATAGTTATCCCAATTATATCCGTACTTATAACTACCCATGAACCTCCAAGTACGAGTCCTTAAATTATATTGACTTCCTCGCCTAAATCGTTTTGAGTTTGGGGTCAAGGTAGCGGTCAAAAAAATGGACCCCCAGAGTTACCCAAAACGCAGAGCCCTCGGCACTGTAGTCCAAACGCTAGCCCATGGAACCTCGACGAAGCAGCCCAGACCCGAAGCCTGAAGCTAGACAGCTAAACTTAGGGGTACTTAGAAACATTTTTTATTTTTTGGTTATTAGAATCCCTAAGAAAACAGCTAGAATTGTACTTTTTGCTAGGGTTCTACAAGAGTTGGGAGGTCGGAATGATCGAGAAGAAAAGGAGTCCTGACGATGACCATACCCCTAAACCCTAAACCCTAAACCCTAAACCCCGAAACCCCGAAACCCCAATTCTACCCACGGAGGCTTCCACAGCAGCCGAAATTCACCTTAAACCCAACCCAGAACTCCTGCTGTGTCAGGACCACAGAAGAAGCGGAGACTGGATCCCTTGCCCCTGGGATGTCGGAATTTGAGGTTGGCTTAGTGTTTAGGGTTTAGGGTTAGGGAGCTGGGGTCGGCATCTGGGGTTCACAAGACGTCTAAAAAAAAGGGCCCTACATTAGGGAGACCTGAAAGGTTTACGATTTCTTGGCTTCAGGTGTCGGCTTTGGGGCAGTTGTTTTAAGCACCCTACACCCGACATCCGACGCCCAGAGCCCGTAACCCTAAATCCTAGCCCTGAACTCAAGTCCCGGCTCCCACACTGACAGGCTGGGCGCCGATTTAATCGCGACTTCCAGTGCCGCTGCCTCACAGGGCACGTCGTTCAAGGCCATTTCGCAGATCATTCTTTTTCGGCTAGGATGCCCAGTGGTACCCTTATTCCCTTGTTCTAGTCCCAGGTTCCTTATAAAGTTATCCAATACCAAAAAGGGAGCCTTTTTTTCCTAGGTTAGTGGGCATCCTAGTATTTTTCGAAGTTTCGAGGCTTGGTCTTTCATCGTTTACACTGTGCGGGGTGTTGGTAAGATATCGATCAGAGAGGTTCGATTTCGGGTTCAACCCTTCACCCGGTTTACCCTCACCGATGAACCCTAAATCCGAAACATCTGTAGTATCCTGAGCTTCAAAGTTTACACGATACTAAACCTCAACCCTATACTTCGAAACTATACCTGCATCTGAGCCGACAAAGCCAGAATGTCTCAAAGCGCATCCGAAATCTGCAGCCCACTACAATCTGCTTCGCCCACTTCTCGACGGGTATGTCCTAGTTCCTGAAATCGTAATATGGGTGTAGGGATTCAGGCCAACCTGCAATAATCCAGAAATACCATATAAAGGACTGCATCGCAGGCCCTGGAAAGTCTTAGGGTTCTTGAGAAGATGCACGTCGTGTAACGACTGCAACAAGAATACCCAAGACACAGCTGTCAAATGGGAGTTTCCGAAAATAGGGGGGGACCCTAGTATAGTAGTCTGAACAGTAGGATCCTTATTATAAGGACCCCAAAATCGGTACCCCTAGTTTTCGGACCCCCACCGCTTAGGCTCCAGTGCTACACGGCACTTGGCAGCGCATGTCCTCTTCCCAAATTGGTTTTTAGGGTTTAGGGTTAAGGGCTTGGGTATCCGCGAAGGCTAACCTTGGACCCCAAGCCCTTAACCTTCACAGCGACATCAGGAAGTAAATCGAAAGCCGCAGTGGTACACCCAAAGCCCTCTAGCCCGTACGTCCTGCGGAAATGAAACCGTCTAAACCCGAAACCCGCTTTTTAGGTCCTACATCATGAGATGGGAGTTTCCCAAAACTAGGGGGTACCTTATTTGGGGTCCTTATATCGGATCCTACTATTTGGGGTACTATATTAGGGTCCCTGTTCTCAGAAACTCCCAGATGTGCCCCAACGACAGGCCTTGCCAGACGACTGGGTTATCCCTCCGCACCTCGGGCGTTTACTCCGAAAGCACTGCGAAAGCGGAGCTAACTTTTCAGCATAGCCCATCGTTCATATGGTTCGTCTCTTTCATAGTCTTGCTATAACATGTTTCAGCTTTGGTCATTATTGTTATTTGCATCATTATTGTTCTTACTCTTCGTATGATACCTATTTTTACTATTACTCTTACTGCTTTTACAACTCCTTCTACCATCACTACTAGTTGCATTGCTACTGTATTACTGCTAGGAATACTACAACTGTCACTAGTAGTAGTACTTGTCGTTCCTGGTTTTGGTATGTTTCCTGTTGCTACGGTTGTTGTCATTGTTATAGCCGCCACTGCTGCCACTGTCACTGCTACTGCCACTGCTACTGCTACGGCTACGGCTACTGCTGCTACTACTACTACTACTACTTCTACTACGTACTACGTACTACTATTACTACTGCTACTACTACTACTACTACTACTACTACTACGACTACTACGACTACTACTACTCCTACTGCTACTGCTACTGCTACTGCTACTGCTCCTACTCCTACTCCTACTCCTACTCCTTCGCCTACTACTCCTACTCCTACTCCTACTCCTACTCCTACTGCTACTGCTACTGCTACTACTACTACTACTACCACCACTACTCCTACGGTTGATGATAAATCTTGCCTTAGCTTAAATACCCGAAAATATGGGAACTATTATATATTCCTTGTCATGGGTCATGCAGGACTCATATCTTCAACCGCGCCACTACCGCTACCATAAGCATATGTGTGCATATAATGTCTGTATGTATATTAGCATAATATATAAATAAATAAATAAATATATATATATATATATATATATACATGCCTTTGGCATGTTAGTTTAGGTTTACAGCTAGTCTTCTGCTGTCCTGAATCTCAGACACCAATGGCACACTTACCTGGAGCTGCGAGTGCTTCGTCCCGCGACCCTTGAACCCCACAGTCCACGCCTGCACGCATCAATGGAGTTTTGGAGTTTCATTGCTAGTTATAAGTGGGGTTATAAGTCCCCGAATATAGGTTATAACCATAGTTATCCTACTTTTCGCACTACTCATAACTTATAACTACCCATGAGCCTCCAAGTATCAATAGCATCAACAAGAACAAACAATTGACAAGACAAGGGTGTCTTTAGTCAATAGTGACAGCTATGACAATCATCATAACAAAAGCAAAAACAGTGAAGGCCATCGGAACCTTCGTGACAGCAGCCACGAAAGTAGCAGGAACACAGACACGAAATGTGTTTGAAGCATAGCATTCCGACATGAGCTTTAGATATTTATGCCTGCAAGGACAGTCGAGGTTGGGTCAATTTTTGGAAATATGTCGCCCAGGAAGACATGGTGCGACACTATCGACGTTGATTGATGCACCGGTGCAACATCGAAAAATAACTTGTGTTGCAACAACACAACATCTATTAAGTATACTTCTTTCATTCGAGATCTATGCAAGGCTGTTGGCCGGCATGACAAAAAATACCGATCCATATATTGTAAAAATAAATCTGTTCAAGATTCTGCAATCACCAATATTATATATTCACTTCCCCTTCTCAAAATATTCCGAATATTTTGGGAGGCCCTCCCCCCTTCCCGGCTTTGATTATATGGCTATAATGATACGATATGTGTGCTCATTATGTTGCGTTCTACGATTGCGTATGTGGGGTGCTGAGGGATTGTGGGATCTGCGGAATAGCAGGGTGTTGTGGTGTTTGCGGGATTTGTGGGGTCTGTATGTTCTGTGGGGTTCACGGGGTCTGCGGAGTTTCTGGGGTCTGAGGGGTTTTGTATATTGTGTTTGTGGGGTGCTGCAGGTTTGTGGATTCTTGTGGCAAAGTAGCATTTTGTGGAATTTGTAGTATCTGTTAGATTTGTGGGGTCTGCATATTCTATGGGATCTGCCGGGGTCTGAGGGGCTTTGTGGGGTCTGCGGAGTTTCTGTCGTCTGCGGTCTGAGGGGTTTTGTCGGGTCTGCGGAATTTCTGGGATCTACGGTATGTGAGGTCTGTGCGAAGGTTTTAGCTAGACGATATTTCCCGGTCAAAAATATTTTGAATATGTTTGATGCGTTCTTAGTGCTTATTATTTTGTGTTCTTCTATTGTGGTATTTGTAGTATCTGCCGGGATTTATGAGGTTTGTGGGATCTATATATTTTATGGGACGCGCGGGGTCTGAGAGATTTTGCCTGATTTTTGATATATATATATATATGTATATATATGTATATATAT